CCTTTTAAAAGTATTATGATAGAACCCTACTTTGACTTGCTTCTTTTAATGTATTGTTATGTTATGTGAAATTATTAGGAATTATATACAAAATATCCTGTATATCTGAGAAGCAGCACAATATGTAATTTCAGGACTTGTGTGATTCTGAGGAAAGAAATAATTTATTGGTGAAGTTCTAATCATATAAAGTGAGGATTGCAATATCTTGTAGCCCTTCCATTCGTGCCACATTAAATCACACCTACACTAGAAATAAGTATTTCTGCTTTGCCATATTCCGGTATAAAAATGATATTTGCAATGACTAATGATGGGCAGTTGCATAGTTAGCCATCATATAAAGTTCCCGTACCTTTTCTTTTTTAAAAATATTTTATTTATTTATTTGACAGAGAGCACAAGCAGGGGGAGTGGCAGAGGCAGAGGGAGAAGCAGACTCCATGCTGAGCAGGGAGCGCAATGTGGGGCCCGATCCTAGGATGCTGGGATCATGACCTGAGCCAAAGGCAGCCACTTAACCAACTAGCCACCCAGGCACCCCTAAAGCTCCTGTACTCTTATACAACCTACTACAATGTCTCTTGGGACACTAGTCATTTAATTTTTTTTTTGTTTTTAAAAATCAACTCCTTGCAAAAATTAAAGAAACAAATTTATAGAAGGTAAAAAGGGTATACTAACTTCCTGTTTCAGAAAGATGGAATCAAGAAGCATTTCTAACTCCCTCTGCTAAGTATAACACAAAAGTCTGACATATTATATAAAACAAACATAAGGAAACTCTGAACAATGTAGAGAAGTCAGATTTGCTAGTGATATAGAAACAAAAGGAGCAACACAGCTGTGAATTGCTTGGGTTTCTTTTTACTTCTTGCATATCCCAGACATGTGATGAGAGAAACTTTCAACCTAGAGCCATAAAATTTGCACCAAAAAAAAAAAAAAGCCCCCAAAAGAACAGAGAAAGAGAACGGTCTCTTTCTAGGCAAAGGCCAAGAAAAACAGCCTACAAAGACAGATGCTTTTTTTTTTTTTAAATAATACCTAACTTATCCTAGAAAAACACCATAGAAACACTGCAATCTGCCTATCAGGAAAGGCTAAGTGGGTAGATTAGATTTTCAACCTGCCCTACCAAACAAGGTGCTCCTTGCTCTTCCCATGATATGAGCAGAGGCTCACTGCTTATGCTATACTTATGTCCACAGTTGCAGCAATAAATTACCTCTTCTCTCCCATGGTATCAGTGGAAGGCAAGTGCATAGTTGGAAATGCACCTTGCTTGGTAATAAGGTGGTGCCCCAACCCCAGTCCAGGGAGATGTCAGCAAAGACAAGTGATAGGCCTTTACCATCCAGCACTAATAATGCATTGCTTCCTTTACCTGCAAGAGTTGTATCAGTGGAGGCCTGATCAAATAGAAGGTTTAAATAAAATCCCAATTCTTACTACATTATACCCCAGTGGTCCAGGATACAATTGGAAATTACTCATCACACCAAGATTCAGGAAAATCTCAAAAGAGAAAAGAAAATGAACAGATGCTAACTTCGAGATCACTCAGATTGTGGAACTCTTTGATATCTAATTTAAAGAACCAAATAAGAATTATACATTGAAAAATACAATAAGACAACATTTAAAAAACCCTCATTGGAAGGAGCTCAGTAATAAATTAGAGATGATGGAAGAATGAATCATTGATGTTGAAGATAGATGAATAGAAATGATCATATCTAAAAATAAAATGTAAACATACAAAATTAACAGACTGCAGGGACTTGTGGGAAAATAATTAAGACTGGCATTCCACAAAGGGGAAAGGGTATAGAGCTAAAAAAAATATTTAAAGAATTGTGGTCAAGAATTTCTCCAAATGCATGTAACATATAAATATACCTCTTCAGGAAACTGAAAGCTCTACTCCATGTCAAGATACATCATTATCAAATTGCTGAAAATTAAAGGAAAAGAAAAAAAATCCTAAATGCAGCTAGAGAAAAATAATGCAGAACCAATAGGCAAACAATGATTCAAATGAGAGTGAACTACTCATCCAAAACTAAGGAAGCCAGGACAAGTGGCCCAATATTTTAAAAGTGGTGGAACAAAAGAATTACCAACCTCAAATTCTATATCCTTTAGGAATATAGAAAAATAAGATAGTCTCAGACAAAGGAAAACCAAATTTGTTGCCAGCAGAATTACCCTTAAAGTATGACTGAAGGTGAAGTCTCTAAGAAGAAAAGAAAATATAACAAAAAAGAGAATCAATGGACTTGAAGGTAGGTCAAAAGAGAAGCAGTAAGAAAAAAGAATGAAGAAAAATGAGCAGAATGAAATGAAGAAAAATGAACCACTATTCAAATTAATTGGTGAAACCTTCCCAAATTTGATAAAAGGTATTATCTTCACATCCAAGAATCTCAACAAACTCCAAGGAGAAAAAAACTCAGATGCAGAGGTCTATACTGAGATACATTAGAATCAAAGTATCAAATCCAAAGATAAAGAGATAATCTTGAAAGTAGCAAAGAAGAAGCCGCGCATCACATATAAGAAGTCCTAATTAACATCAAGAGTCAATTTCTCCTTAGAAACTATGGAGGCCAGGAGGCAGTGATAAGAAATATTTAAAAGGGAAAAAGTACTATCAAGCAACAATTTTATATTGGGCCATAATATCCTTCAAGATTGAAGGAGAAATGAAGACATCCTCCAATAAACAAAAAGTGAGGGAATTTGTTATAAGTAGACATGACCTATAAGAAATGCTGAAGGCTGAAGTATAAGGACATCAGACAGTAACTTGAAGCTAAATGAAGACATAGAGGACAATGGTAAAGGTCACTATAGGTACCATTAGGTAACTCTAGGTAATAAAAGGAAATATAAAAGCCATTATTATTGTGTTTATGTTTTTAAATTATTTTTCTTATATGATTTAAAAGACAAATGCATGAAACAATAATTATAAATCTATATTAATGGGAACACAATGACAAAGATATACTTTGTGACAATAACATATAAAGGGGAAGGAATGAAGATGTACAGGAGCAGATTTTTAGATGCTACTTCAGCTTGGCTGGTACTAATTCAAACTAGGTAATTGTAAATTTAAGATGTGATTTGTAATCCCTGGAGAAACCACTAAAATAAATCACTAAAGAATAGAAAGAAAAGCAAATGAGAAGGGAATCAGATTGGTTCACTACAAAAAAATCCATTAAACATTAAAAAAAGGCATTAATGGAAAACTGAGGACAAGAAGATATGAGACATACAGAAAATAAATTAAAATGGCAGTGGTAAGAACTTCATTATCAGTAATTACTTTAAATGAATTAAACTCTCCAATTAAAACGCAAAAGTTTTGGAGAAAGAGGTCTAAAAATGTTTGGAATCATGTATATGCTATCTACAAGAGACTTGCTTCTTTTTCCCCCAGCTTTATTGAGATGTAATTGACAAATAACATTACATAAGTTTAAGGCATTAAGATTCTTCTTGATTTTTTTTGTTTTCCGTTTATTTAAAAGTATGCTTGGCATACTGTAATATTCAGCCTGTATCAGACAGTTCAATTCTCTCCTTTTCTACATTGCAAATAACATAAACTGCAACTCCAGAAAAATGCTTCTTTTCTCCATTTTATTGTACCCCAGAACATGCCACATCTAGATGATGGTAATGTTTTTACTGGCACTCCTCCCTTCTTCTCTTCTTGGTCACTTCAGATTCATTTTCAAAATAGCATTCATAATGATCTTGTTTTAAATTCATTTTGTGTCATTTGCCTGCTGAAAATCTCCCAGAGGTTTCTAATTGCACATAGACTAAAGTCCAAAATATGTGCTATGGTTTATAACTTCTAAATTAATTCAACACTCTGCCTCATCATGAGCCAGCCACATTGGCCTCCTTGTTTTCTTTCATTGAGTCCAAGCCTTTTGATGCCTTCAGATGATTGATCTAACTCTTCTCCAGGTGCCATCCTTAAGGTTGGAGAAGATTCAAAAACTATCTCATGTGAAATATGAATTCCTTCCAGTCACTTTATTATTATTATCTTTTATAATGTGCATGATTCATCATCTTTTTCTATTTTCTTCTTTGTAAAATTATTATTTTTACTGTCAGTTTTCCACTTGACATTATAGTCTATGAATAAAGATACACTGACTCTTGTAGAGCACTAATCTCCAACAGTTGTGGTACTGCTTGGCATACACAAGTTCACAATATTGATTAGATGAATTAATAATGAGTGGGAAAATATGGAGGGCTAGAATAGACACTGTTCCCTTAGAGGCTTTGATATGCTTTAGGAATCTTATTATTCCCGAGACCCTTATTCACATCCAGCAACTGCTTTGTTTCCATTAAAAGTATGAGAAACACCAACTCAACTTCAGTTCCAATATATTCCTGTTTTTGATGTGGTTTTTTATGAAGGAGTTTTCCAGGTTCTAAATTATACCCTGGAAATCTGAATTTCAGAAATACAAAGTTCTAACGATGTGGAAATTATCAATACGTTTGTGCTAGTCTTTAAATGAGATCAATTTAGCACTTGCCAAAAAAGATAAGTGCCAAGTAGCTATGTTTCCTAGCAATAAGATCTTGCACATGCAGTATTTTAACAATTACACTATGTAAAATTTAATTTATCCTCATGCTGTGTCAACTGATTTTATCTAATTTCACTATAAACATTAAATTTGTGTTACTAAAACATGCAAGGATCTTTCAAAGATTTTCATTGTGTTCTTGACTAGTGTTTTCTAATATTGCCTACATTTAACTCATGTAAGGGGACAAAATGATTTTCTAGTGATTATCCAGAGATTTTCATATCTACTTAGACACAATTGGAACCCTAAACCTAAAAGGGGGACAATCACAACAACAGCAATGCTGCATATCTTTCCTGCTGCTAAGTCTTTATAAAATAGAAAAGAATACAGGATCTCAAAGGACACTATTTTACTTACCTCGCTGACTGCATTTAGGAGGAGTGGACCAGCCACTTTCTGTGCATTGGATGCTGCTCTGATTGTATAGAACGCTGTAGCCCGTATCACAAACAATTTGTACGGTGTCACCTTCCTGGTGTGTCTGTCCTGAAGATGCTGAATGACCATTTTCCACCCAAGGGAAAAAGCACTGCCCTAAAAACCGAAAAGATGACAAATACAAATCTTGCAAGGAAAGAGTAGTACATTTTGCAAACTTCAAAAGAGAAATCAAGCGCAAAAAATTCGATTCTTAAAAATTAGTTCATGCAAGTTAAAAAGAAAAAAATATGTCATCAATCACCACATGCATATATAAAACTTTTTACATTTGTAAAATTCCTCTAGATATCAGAAAAATTAGTTTTTATTCCTCATTTGATTGTCTAAATTGATTTTTGAAGGAAGAGATGACTTTTCTCTCTTTTGCCTTTGTGACTTTTCTATTTCATGACACTGTTTTCTTCTCTGCTTTTTCTCTGTACTCATTGAGAGGGTAAGACAAATATAATTTTAAAAAACAAAGATATAATCAGTAAAAAACACAAAATTAAGGAAAATAGCTTAAAAATTCTTCTTGAATATTTGAAGGAACAGCACATTTTGAATCAGATATTACACATACAAATAAACTCTTTTTTAAGATTTTTCATTTTATTTTTTTTAAATATTTTATTTATATATTTGACAGAGAGCAAGAGAGCACAAGCAGGGGGAGCAGCAGGCAGAGCGAGAGGGAGAAGCAGGCTCCCTGCTGAGCAGGAAGCCCAATGCGGGACTCAATCCCAGGACTCTGGGATCATGACCTGAGCTGAAGGCAGTTGCTTAACCAACTGAGCCACCCAGACGCTTCACAAATAAACTCTCTTGAGACAATCTACACTCATACAATTACCAAATGAGTGTGTTTGAATTAAATAGTAGCAGTTAACAGTATTGACCATTAATATTTAAAATGAAAAGATCTAGATATTCCACAAAAGTTTGTACTTGGTTTTTGTTTTTGTTTTTTTTTTCTGATTTGTTTCCACAAACAGCTTCTTACAAAAGAGGAATGACTATCTTGCCTTTGCTGGATCCTCCAGTCCCCAACTCTGTGATTGTCTAAACTCTGTGAGCCCCCCTGACATCCCCCTCATCCCCATCTGCCCCACTGAATGCACTGAATAATTCATCCAGATAATGACCAGGTATTTACTCACTGATACACTTTGGTGTTGGTGACCATCCTTCCTCTGTGCAGATTATTTGAGTCCAGAGTGATTGTGAAGGAGACACAAAGCTGTGATCACAGGAGTAGTAGAAATATTTTCCTATAGCAACGGGGAAGCTTTGTTTATATGTGTCTTCATCATATATGTTTCCATGTTTTATTTCTGGAAAATCACAAGTTCCTCCTTAAGAAAAAAACAGTATCATACATGAATAATTATATTTTATTTTAATAATCATATTGATGAATTTATTATTCTTTTTTTTTTTAAAGATTTTATTTATTTATTTGAGACAGAGAGAATGAGAGACAGAGAGCATGAGAGGGAGGAGGGTCAGAGGGAGAAGCAGACTCCCTGCCGAGCAGGGAGCCCGATGCGGGACTCGATCCCGGGACTCCAGGATCATGACCTGAGCCGAAGGCAGTCGCTTAACCAACTGAGCCACCCAGGCGCCCCGAATTTATTATTCTATTTAAGTTAATTGTTCCACTTAGGTTTGTGATTCAAGAACTGGGACAATCTATAACTAAGAGTATAAAGGTATTTGAGACATTTGTGATGTTTAAGTTCTTCAGAAGTATTTCCAAGATTAAAATGTAAACACTGAGGAAAGAATAAAAGTGGTTCTATCCAGTAGGCTTCTCAGATCTAAGAAATTCACTTGGGATGGGTTGGTCAGATTATTTATAGTTCTCTATTCACTTTCTGTGTCTCTTCTTTCTGTGTCTTCTACAGATCTCCCCTCAGAAATCTTGGCCCTTTCCATCCCTCTTCTCCTACTCTAGACAACACATTACATAGGATATATGAACATATACACATATGAAACTATAATTGTAGAATGGGTGGCTTAAATATCTGAAATTTATTTTCTTGTAATTCTAGAAGCTAGAAGTCAGAGATCAGGTGTCAGCAGGAATGGTTTCTTCTGTGGCATCTGTCCTTGGCTTGTAGATGGCCTCTTCTCCCTGAGTCTTCCCTTTATGTGTCTCTGTCCTAATTTCTTCCTCATACAGGGACACCAGGTTTATTGGGTTAGGATCCATCCTAATGACCTTGTTTTAACTTAATTCCTTTCTAAAGACCCTATTTCTGTATACAGTCACACTCTTTGGTCCTGGGAATTAGGATTTCAGCATTTGAATTTTGCAGGAATGCAATTCAACCCATGCCAATAAACACACAAAGATGTCTTCTGTATACAAAACAGTGTGCTTCCACCAAGTGAGTTCATTTCTCCTTTGAGAAACATTGGTGCAACCCAAACTTACAGGGCATTCATCTCAAAGGCTGCTTTCAGAAAGAATTCACTGAGGAAGAATAGTTTCAAACTAGATGGGATGTTTTGTTGTCTTGTTATTATTGTTGCTAGTAAAGGGAATTACCTGGATATAGTCTTAAAGAGCATATAAAACTCTATATACAGCAAATTACCAAATGAATTTTAGTAAATTCAGGAGTAAGGCACTGTGATTTATATTCTATTCAAAAATGGTGCAATGAAGTATCTTAAAGCACTTTAGAGATTTCATTTATAATAATTTGGAAATGAGAGTTTTTGATTTTAAAAGAAAGAGCCTTTAAAAAGATATCATAATGAAGAATTTATAAAGACATTAAGAAAGGAGAAAAATGTAATTGTATAAATAAAAACCTTAAAGATTTTACACATGCAGCAAAAAGCTATTAGAACTAGTACACAAAAATAAATTGCTCTCTAAAGTTTAAAAATCTACCAATTATATTTGTTATGTCATGAGATATCATTTTTAATATACAAGGACTGAATTCAGAGACATAATCTAAAAAATACATTACTCGAAAGGTGAAAACAAATCAGTGAGCAATGTGCTACAGCTAATGCTCTGAAAATTATTTATTTACTCAATATTTACCAGTAAATATTTAATTTACAGAAATGTAAATTAAAATTTATTGTTTTGATGCGAATTTTGTTGAAATATTAAATTGATCATAATCGCTTGTAACAGCTTTAGTTTTGTTAAAGATTTATTTATTTAGTTAGTTAGTTATTATTTATTTAAGAGAGAGAGTGAAAGCAGAGGGAGGGGGCGGGGGAGTGGAAGAGAAGCAGACTCCTTGCTGAGCCCAGAGCCAAACATGGGGCTTGATCCCAGGACTCTGAGATCATGACCTCAGCTGAAACAAAGAGCTGGAGGCTCAATCAACTGAGCCACCCAGATGCTCCTCGTAACAGCTTTATTAAGGTATAATTGAAATACGGTAAACTGCATATATTTGAAATGTCTGATTTAATAAGTTTCTTTGTGTGAGTGAATTGGGAAAGCAGTTTTCACCAAATAAAATATCAATTACTTTATTTAACTAAACTACTAGCTTAGGACAAATACATATTATGTACTATATAGATATTTTTATGTTTTAAGTAGTTTTAGTTAAGTGATATGTATATAAATGTATACTTAAAAAATTATATACCCACATATTATAAATTACAACACAGACTTTACACTATTTCAAATCCAAAACATTTTTTAAAGATTTTATTTATTTATTTGAAAGAGAGAGAGTGAGAGAGAGAGGATGAGCAGAGGAAGGGGGAGAAGCAGACTCTCCTGCTGAGCAGGGAGCCCAATGAGGGGCTTGATCTCAGGACCTTGGGATCATGACCAGAGCCGAAGGCAGTCGCTTAACCAACTGAGCCTCCTAGGTGCCCCTACAAATCCAAAATATTTTAGAATGACTTTATCTCAACCAAAAAGCATCCTCTTGCATTAATAGAAATTACTATTAAGTGTTGATCATTACTGTTTAATTCAGATTTTTAAGTGACTCTCAATAGTTAAAAAATATGACAAATATTCTACTTCTGCTAAACTTAAGAAGTTTTGACATACAAAGTCATAAAACCATCACCATATACAAGATTATGTAGATATCCATTTCTTGCATTAAAAATAAGAAACCTCCATATATTTTGAGGTCAGAATCTCACTTTTCTTGTGACATATTTCCTAAAGTTGTGTGAGCATACTCACACATCTCCATAATCAGCATTGTGTGTCCTGTCAAATTTAGGAAATAGAAAACAGAATTTATTTTATTTTCCCGTTAGATAGACACAAGATAATTTTCCTTTATAAAGTTATGCTCCATTATGGTATCACAATACAGACTATTTTTACTAGTAAATTCATTAAAAAATATAGATATATGAAAGTAGATATGATATGAAGTTACGTTTAAGAGAGAAGGTAAGTGTTCAGATCTGTTTCAACTTACCTTGTCCATGAGCACAGGAAACCCACAAGATGAAAATAATACTGATTAGTAACAGCATGTTAGTTATTCCAATGCTATATTAATACAAATATTCCAGTTGTGCTGTTTGGGGTTGTAAATCTGGTTAATTAGCAGTTATCAAGTGTGACCCTGAATTTAAGTGCACTACCATGAAGCTCGTTAATTGTGGTTGCTCAGTAAATATCAAAGTTCAAAGAACTTTGCAAAATCCCTCAATTCCTATTGGTTAACTGTTTCACAATGATTTCTTGAATTCATTCCCTGATACATACCGTACAGCTTTCTTTACGGACAATAACAGGCTGGCTCCAAAAGTGATGTAAAACACTAAGTTAGGGCGCCTGGGTGGCTCAGTTGGTTAAGCGACTGCCTTCGGCTCGGGTCATGATCCTGGAGTCCCAGGATCGAGTCCCGCATCAGGCTCCCTGCTCAGCAGGGAGCCTGCTTCTCCCTCTGACCCTCCCCCTCTCATGTGCTCTCTGTCTCTCTCATTCTCTCTGTCTCAAATAAATAAATAAAATCTTTAAAATAAATAAATAAATAAATAAATAAAACACTAAGTTAAACACCCATTGAAAATCAATACAGCTCTTTCTCAACCATGTGAATCATATGCAAACAACTGAATCCCTGTCATTATATTTTTCTCTTGTCCTTTACTTACCTTCATTACTTCATTACTTAAGGGTTTATGAAAACCAATGTGTATATTTGGACCCCATTCCATTATCTGTATTTTCTTATGCCTAGGGAAACACTGCTTTACTTTTTTTTATTATTATGTTAATCACCATACATTAGATCATTAGTTTTTGATGTAGTGTTCCATGATTCATTGTTTACATATAACACCCAGTGCTCCATGCCCTCTTTAATACCCATCACCAGGCTAACCCATCCTCCCACCCCCCTCCCCTCTAGAACCCTCAGTTTGTTTTCCAGAGTCCATAGTCTTTCATGGTTCATCTCCCCCTCTGATTGCTTTACTTTTAAATTCACATTAGGTTATAGTACTAAGTACAAGAGCTTCAGCATATTCTTGCACTGAAATATTTTTCATCTAATGTGCTTTGAGGCACCTTTTCTTTTAGGGTACAATATATTCAGATGCATGCAATGATTTCCCTTTTCATGTAGGAATATAGCTCAAATGTCCTCACAGCTGTCCTTTCACTGATTTATTAATTTTATTCTTTATTTTTTAGCTATACATGTATATTTACATATATGTAGCCAACTATATTTGTCATCTTCTAAAATACAATTACTTCATATAAGAGAATTGTTTTCAAGCAGATAATGAATATGGAAAATATTATTATAAAGGTGGAGAAAATAAATCAGTCACTAATGTCATAGAGTTAATGCATTTAAATTTATTTATTTCCTTACTATAACTACATAGTTCTAAAATATTAAATAATTTAGTAATATAATAATTAATACTTCCAGAATAGCAAAAGAGCTTGTATTAAAGTAACAGATATAAACTTAACATAAATTATAAAAATGAACTGCTTGAGTGAGTAAATGCAAGCAGAAAATGGATAGTGTCCAATCTTTGAAAGAATGGAATTAAACTGTGAGGTCCATATTTATCCATTTTATGAATTTAGAACACACCCACATCCATTTGGTACATGGATGATAAGCTCAGGCAGAAAGCAGGAGTCTCACTTGTGGGACAATTTAGAGATCTGAGTATGCAGCTGGGAGAACCTCTGCCAAGTGAGAAGAGAAATGTATGCAGCCCCATCAGGGAAATCCCCAATAATCTCCATATGTCCTCTTAAATTATTTCCTAATCTATATGAGCCTGCAAACTCAAAGCAGCCCAGTGGGGAGAAATTGCTGCAAGGCTGAAAACTTTGAAAAATTCAAGTAGTACCTAGTGTGGAAGAAAACAAGTTTGGAGTTCAAGACCAGCACAGTTTATTAAATACCTCACATTTTACCACCCAGACAGATATGTCTTAGGAGTAAATACTATGCCCCAGGAGCTGACTAAGGGCTATATCCTTGTATTGCGGCAACACTGAAATAGACCAACCTTAAAAAAAAAAAAAAAAAACTTAAAATGAAGACCTCACAGAATTATAGTATTCCACCAGGAACATAACTTCTGTTTTATATTCTTTTATGAGATAGTCAGCTAAATATAGCCATAAGAGGAGACAGAGGATAGGTTTAGGAAAAAACAAAGTTTATTATACTCACAAGTCCTAGAGACAGAGGCAGAAATAGGAATGAGGGGAAGGTTGAGGGGCCAGATAGAAGAGGTATGGCTCTGGTTGGTTAGTTTGCAGATCAAAGACAGGCTTCTGGCTGGGCTCTTTGCTATCTCTAAGATTTAGTAGTCTCTCCTCAGCCAGAAGGTTTTGTAAGATATCAAACCATCATAATAAACGGAAAATGAAAAATATTTACAACAGAACTTTTATTAGAAGAAGAATCTATATTATTCAGAGGCAAATGCCAGAATCTATAAATCTCTACAATGTGCTGTTGGTGATGTTTAGTGTAGAGTAAAACTTACTGGACATGAAAAGAAGCAGAAAATATGAGCCACAGTCAGGGGAAAAGAGCTATCAAAAGAAACAGACCTAAAGATAAATAGTACACTAAAATAAATAAGATAAACATAACTTTTCAATGATTATGAAATACAAGTTAAAGAATCTAAAGAAAAGTTATATATATATAATTGCTTAAGAGTTGTCAAGTTTCAGAATAGAGGTATATCTAAGTTTCTAAAAAAGTACCAAATGTGAATCCAAGAATTAAAATTATAATATTCATGAAAACTGGAGAAAAATAATAACAGAATGAGAAATGAATAAGAAGAAATAAATGGACTTAAAGATAGGTTAATAAAAATTATCAGAAATAAATATCTTAAAAATAAGAATAGAAAATTAAAGACTCAATGACCTGTGGGGTAGTATCATGTGATCAAACAAGAAGAAAGAGAAAGTTTAAGGCAGAAGACCAATTTGAAAAATTATAGATAGCAATCTTCCAAATGTTATTAAAGACATGAAGCCACAGAACCAAGAAGCTCAGCTAACATCAAGAATGACAAATACACAGAAAACTGTAATTTAAAAAAAAAAACCTGCTAAAACCAACATTAAAAAGAAAAATTTGAAAGCAACTGGAAAAAGGATGGAGAAGAACATATATAACACATAGATAATGCCAACACAGAGACAGAACTAATACTGTCAGCAGACTTTTCATCAAAAACAATGGGGCCAAGAAATAGTCCAAGATGGTGGAGGAGTAGGAGACTTTAGTTTTATCTGGTCCCAGGAATTCAACTAGAAGCTATCAAATCATTCTGAACACCTGTGAACTCAAACAGACATCTAAGAAAATAGCTTCAATTCTACAAATAGAGAAGCAACCACTTTCTGCAAGAATGACAAGATGGAAAAACTCACCTCAAAAAAGAAAACAAGAGGCATTACTGACTGCCAGGGACCTAACCAGTATGGATAGAAGTATGATGTCAGAACTAGAGTTCAGAATAATGATTATAAAGATACTAACTGGGCTTGAAAAAAGCATAGAAGATACTAGAGAATCCCTTTTTGGAGAAACAAAAGAACCAAAATTTAATCAAGTCAAAATAAAAAAGGCTATTAATGAGATGCAATCAAAAATGGAGGCTCTAACTGCTAGGATAAATGAGGCAAAGAGAGAGAACTAGTGATGTAGAAGAGAGAATAATGGAGAATAAAGAAGCTGAGAAAAAAAAAAGAGATAAACAGCTACTGGCTCACAGGGAGAGAATTTCAGAGAATGTGATAAAGTGAAACAACAATAGAATAAGCGAGAACCCAGAAGAAGAGGAAAGGGGGGGAGCAGAAGGTATATTGGAGCAAATTATAGCAGAGAACTTCCCTAATCTGGGGAAGGAAACAGGTATTCAAGTACAGGAGGCACAGAGAACCCCCCTCAAAATCAATAAAAATAGCTTGACACCTCAACATACAATAGTGAAACTGGCAGCTCTCAGACAAAGAGAAAATCCTGAAAGCAGCTCTGGACAGGAGGTCCATAACCTACAAGGGTAGAAATATTAGACTAGCAGCAGACCTATCCACAGAGACCTGGCAGGCCAGAAAGGACTGGCATGATATATTCAGAGCACTAAATGAGAAAAATATGCAGCCAAGAATACTTGATCCAGCAAGAATGTCATTCAAAATAGAAGGACAGATAAAAAACTTCCAAGACAAACAGAAACTAAAAGAATTTGTGTCACCAAACCAGCCCTACAAGAAATATTAAAGGGAATCCTTTAAGTGAAGAGAGAGCCCTAAAGTAACATGGACCATAAAGGAACAGAGACAATATACAGAAACAGTGACTTTACAAGTAATACAGTGGCAGTAAATTCATATCATTCTTTTTTTTTCCCCCACCTACAGGAAACCCACTTTATTTTTTGCTTGCTTTTTTGTTTTTGTTTTTGTTTTTGTTTTTTTATTTAATTAACATATAATGTATTATTTGTTTCAGGGGTACAGGTCTGTTAAATTCATATCTTCCAATAGTTACTCTGAATGTAAATGGATTAAATGCCCCAATCAAAAGACACAGGGTAGGGGCGCCTGGGTGACTCAGTTGGTTAAGTGACTGCCTTTGGCTCAGGTCATGATCCTGGAGTCCCAGGATTGAGTCCCACATCAGGCTCCCTGCTCGGAGGGGAGTCTGCTTCTCCCTCTGACTGCCCCCCTAATGCTCTCTCTCTCTCATTCTCTCTCTCTCTCTCAAATAAATAAATAAAATCTTAAAAAAAAAAAGACATAGGGTATCATATTGGATAAAAAAGTAAGACCCATCCATATGCTATATGCAAGAGACTCATTTTAGACCCAAAGACACCTCCAGATTGAAAGTGAGGGGGTGGAAAACCATTTGTCATGCTAATGGATATCAAAAGAAAGCTGGGTTGGCAACACTTGTATCAGACAAATTAGATTAAAACCGAAGACTTAAGAAGAGATGAGGAAGGACACTATATCATAATCAAAGGGTCTATCTAACAAGAAGATCTAACAACTGTAAATATCTATGCCCCTAAGATGGGACCAGCCAATTATATAAGCCAATTAATAACATAATTAAAGAAACACATCAATAATAATACAATAATAGTAGGGAACCTTAAC